TTGTTGGGTTGTGTTTTTTTCAGATTGTGTACAAATGTTTCAAATAGCTTGTTTTTTAAATTAAGTGAAAGAAACTAATGCTAGTTTCTTGACATCCTTATGAGGAGGATGGGGTATTCTTGGGTTTATTTGATTTTATTTTTCCAAGAAGAGGCCTCTTTACTTGTGCTTTGTTGTTTGTAAGAGAACTTCAAAACATGATGATCCTACTTAATTCTTATTACATTATGTACCTGAATACATCCTGACCTGTGATACGAGTGGATTGAGTCTTTCAAAAGCGAAGTGGTTTTGTGCTATCTTCCTTACTCCAACAATGATACACGTGTAATAGTGTTGGTATGTTGAAATAAATTGAAAATCCTTAAAGGTTTTAAGAATGCTTACATTTCTCAGGGGGATGTTACTTACATTTATCTTGTATTTACAAGCAAAAATACATTTAATGTTCACTAAATTATCTTTTTCTGTAATGTTAGTGATGCCTGGAATGCCATATAACCGGACAATGAAAAGCTGCCTTGACTGTAGTTTGCTGTAGAGGTAGAAAGTTGTTCTGAGAATGTGAAGCATCGCCTGAACCATAATACTGAGTTGTACAAAGAATTTTGGCATATTATTTTGACCTTGCAAGTTTATAGAAACATTTTTTGGTAGCAAGAAGTATTATTGCTTAATAACTGGAAATGTTCAGATGTAAAAACACTATAGGAACTTAGAAAAATGATGAATAGGAAGAGAAGTGATTCTGTTAGTGGTAGTCCAAATGGTCTCCTGGGTGCTAAGGGAAGGGTGATGACAACTGTCCTACTTGTATGATAAGCAGATGCTATGAGAAGGGATTTTCTGACTTTTATGGATGACAAGTGAATGCTTTCAGTCTTGAAGCATTGTTTTATAGCCTTGTAATCAACAGCAGAAAATCTACATTGCTTCTAGTTTCCAAAAGGACACTCAAGACTGGATTGTTTTGCAGTTATTGTTGGATGCATAGTCACATGCAAATGCAGGCTCTGCGTGGATTCATGGCCGCAGCTGACAGGCCTTGATCTGAGACAAGAGATAGAGCTGAAGTCAAAGGATTGTTAAGAGCTCTTGCTTTTGAAACTTCAAATAAATGCTTGTATAACTGCATGCATTTATTATTCTGGTAAGATTTAAATTCAGTAACTCTTCAAAGTCTGGTAAAACAAATAGGTGGATGCAACAATCACTTTGTTTAGGTGACGGCATTTTTAAATATCCTATTTAATTATAGTGTTGTGTTAAAACAACCAAGATCCTTATGCTACGCTGAAACTACATATAAAATCTGATTCTGGGATTTTTTTGTGCCTATGCGTTTGGATTTTTTTGTGTGCCAAACTGCAAAGTTTTTAGTGAAAGAACATCTTGGCCAACCATATCAGTTAGTTAATCTGCATTCATGTTCACCTTCCTACTCAGTCTTTCTGGTCTTAGAAGCTCCTGAAACGTAACTACCAGCAGGGCTGAGGGGGTGAGGAACTTTCTTGTCTGTCTGTATGGATGAAGGCCTGATGCTTCTCATGCTCACAAAAGGACATTAGTATTGTTTCATAAAGAGTGTCAAGCATTCTCAATGTGTCCTGATAGTACTGCTGTCAGAAAGGTCAGAGTGCTACAGTGAATTTAATGACTTAAGATAGAGACATAAATATCCTTTCTGTATTTGAACCAAAAATTTGTAGCTAGACAGCTTGTGAAAAAGGTAAAATTGATTTGTATGTGGTTTTTTTAAGAGAGAAGAGGGTCTTACATTTTTTTTCATTTTTAGGATAAGCTCAAAATGGTTATTATAAGAAAAAGAACTTTAAAAAATATGGAGATTTAATTTCTAAGTTCCTGGACTGCTGTGATCTGCAGAAAAAAAGTGTTTACAGAAGTTGCGTTATCTTTAAGCACAGTGTGTGAAACTGCAAGTGTGCAGACCTCAGATACCCAGGCACTTGGATAACTTTCTTCTGGCTTGATAGTGGGCACCTAGCTGACTATTTTCTTGAACTTACAGTTGAGCAACTACACTACAAGTGCTACATTATGCCTAGGCCTTTTAAGTGTAATAAATGTTAGCAGTTATCAAATATCCCTTTGAGTTTGTATTTTACTTGATGACTTCTTGCTTGAGCCTGTTTCCAGTACAGGATGTAACTATTAGTAATTTGCCTTTTCTGAATTCAAATTCTGTTTTGGATTTAATAACTCATACACTGGCAGTTAGGGAGTTTGTGTGTTGTGTTTGGTTTTTTTTTTTCCCAGAGCACAGAAAAGTTTATAATATAAAACATAACAGATCAAAAGTAAGTAGGTTGTGGTACACAGAGCCTGTTTCTTTTAGGTCACGTGCTTGAATATGACTCAGTGTTGTATCATCAGAATCCGTTAGTCTGTTGTGGTCATTAAACTGACTCATTTTAGGCAGGCTAGTTTATTCCTACCTTAGGAAATCACGGGGCCAGTGAGCACTCTTAACTGCAATCTCAGCAGCACAGCAAATTGGAGCTTTCGTGTGAGCCCTGAGATTCATCATTTCTCCACGGGAGATAAACTTGGACTCCAGGTAACGTGGAGCCACAGCATTTGTCCTCTGTTAAAGATGTTACACTGGATCTTCAGTAATAAGTTTCTATCAAACACAGGAATGTATGTATTAGAATAATGGAAGAGAAAGAAAATGACAAATAGTGCTTTAATATGTGACGACTACTTGAACAATTAAGAGCGATTGAAGAAATTATCAGCGTTTTTCCACAGTTCCAAGTTCAGGGATTAGAAACAAGAGACTAGAAAAGAGCTTTTGATCACTGAGGCAGGTCCCTCAGAACCACCAGTCCTTACATCTCCTGTTATTGACAAACTGGGCAGCCTTGCCTTTAAGTGCAGTAAGATTTTTTTTGCTCCTACTTCTCTTATTTCAAGGCTGTTTTAGAAACTTGCTCTGCAGTTTGAGGCCCTATAATTTTCAATTTTAAATGGGTATTTGATTATGCCTTATTTAGGTCCTAACCACTTTTCATTTGACTGTAAGTTATTTGGTCTCTGAAGTGTAGTTTTACTATTATTTTTGTTGTCCTCCTTGTACCTGTTAATTTTGGAGTCTCTTCTTGCTCAACCAGGGTTACCCAAACAGAATAATGTGTTCTGTTGAAGCCTTATATAGTATCATTAATATAGCTGAAAGCATCCTACATTTTGCCTTTTTTTTTCAGCCACGTCATATTGTTGGGTTGTAATCCTCTTGCAGTGAACAAATCCAGTCAGATGTTAGGCATCTTATTTTGCTCCAATGTAGCAAGCTCACAGTATGTCGCCAAAATCCTTGTTTGTCCCAAGTGCATTGCTGCATACCTGGTTATTTTATGACATCTCCTTTGTATTATTCCAGGCTTCAAATTTACCTAGTTCTGCTTGTAGTAAAAACTACTTGTCAGAGATGGTATCTTGAGCACATTCCAAAGCTCAGCAGCTTGGAAGACAGTGCCTGGGAGAAAATTTCACTCTGCTGAGGCAAACTGGAGAAATTGTGGTCTTGTTCATTTGCAAAAACACGTGGCTGCTGAATTGTTTTGTGAGTCTAATTTGTGTTTAAGGTTTGATCCGACCTCGGATCAGATTTTGCATGAAGCGACTGCTCTACAAACAGTGGAATCTGTGTTTGTTCATGAGCTGTCCTAGCGCATTTGAAGGTCCTGAACGTATATGCAACTGGGACTAAGCGTATGCTCTGTACTTGCAGGGAAGTGGTACACGCAAACTGTGTCCGCTGGAAGAAAAAGTTCTTGTTTATGTGTAAAATCAGTGCCAGTGCCACGACAGGGATTCTGGATACTTGCATTTGCAGGGTGTCTGTACGGAAGGTAAGTAGCTCTTTTCCCATCCTCTTCTCCTTCCCTGCTCTTTTTTCACGTGTTTTGGCTTAATTTTTAAATGTCTGATAAATTTCCTAAAGCAAACTTTATCTGCAACCACATTGGGCATTTTTTCTAGTCAAAATTCATTACCTTAGTTTGACTAATTCGTGATTTTTTACATTCTTATTGAAAAGAACACTTATTCCAGCAGGATGGCAAAGGAATCACTCATCGGTTCTTTGTAAAGTTAGGCCTTGATAGATGCTTCTAGCAAGCAGCAGTAAATTTAGAAGCTTCTAATGGTGCTAAGGACCAGAATTTTGTATGCAGCACTTCCTACCTTTGGGGCCAGACTTTGCAAGAGCCAAAGGCTGGTCGGCATCAGGCACTCACCCTTCCTGCCCTCTGCAAGGTGACGGTCTCCTGCTGGCCTGCACCAAGGACATTATGAATACTAAGTTGTAAATGACAACAAATGTGTGGTGAGCTATTTTAAAACAAATATTAGTATTTGCTTTTCTGAAAAAAACCCAACTCAACCCAAACAAACCCAGTCAGTATTGTCAATGGCTTAATGGCATGCCTTTCTTGTTTTTTTTTTCCAGGAGTTAAAAGGAGGAAAGGCATATGCAAAGGTAAATTGAGATGTATCTGGTTTTGCCTAAAAATTAGCTTTTTCTTTTGATGTCATTTTATGTCATTTATGTCATTTTATTTAGACTATAGTGACACAGTGGTGCTGGAACTCTTGATTAGTGTGTTTACTAAGTATATAATATTATACCACCAGAATGTTTTTTCTTTCAATTTACTAGGTTGAAATGTTGGTAAAAGCAAACCTTTCTGCATGTGTAATAAAGAAAATTCTCCTTATTCTCTGGAGACTTTAATTTTTAACTGAAAAGAGAGCTATGCAGAATTTGACATTCAAACTGTGTTTTCTGCTATTTGCCTTGGGCCACTCCCTTTAATGGGCATCCTTTTACTCATACCTGAGGGAAACTGCTGTTGAGTGGCAAGTACCTTCATTTAGTCACAGAGTTACTACTAACTTTGCCTTTTTCTCCTAACAGCTGGGATTTGCAGATCTAAATCTAGCAGAATTTGCTGGATCGGGAAATACCACTCGTCGCTGTTTACTGGAAGGTTATGACACCAAAAATACAAGACAGGACAACTCCATTCTCAAAGTAATTGGTTACCTTTATCATACTTAAACTAATAAAGCAGAGAACAAGTGGTATTATTAAGCACTTAATGAAATTTAAAACATTTGCTGAACCTCTTTCTAGAAAGAAAACAAGTATAAATGTCTGGCCTTGTTTAGAGACAATCATTAAAATCTGTGCAGTCAAAACTAGAATGTGTCCTACTTGTTGAAACGGAGCTGGACAGCTGTAAAAGAAAAGCTTTCAAGAACTATTCCTATTCTAACAGGAATTGAAAAATGAAGTAGGGAAGCATGGTGAAATAGTTCATACACTCATGTAAAAATGGCTATTGTATCTTTACGACTGGGCAACTTCCTGCATAGCTTTTCTAAGAGTGAATCTCTTAATTGGCTCATTTATCTGTAAGCCAGCTTCAACACCTCTGTGACACCTGAAACCATCCCTTTTCTGTTTGACAGTAATCCATATCACAATTGGTGAGCATTGTTAGAAGAAACCCACCCTGCCGTTCTCTCCCATTAGTGCACAGAATTAAAAAAAAAAAGGAATAAGCAGCATTAACGTGAAAATAATTACATACCGAATGTAACAAGTAAATTTTTAAAAAATTTCTTTTCCTACCAAGACGCTAGGATTACTTTCTCATACTACTGAGTATAGCATTTAAGCACAGACTTTCTGATTTCCTAAGACACTTATAGACTTTTCCTAGAAAATTTTTAATTGATGGCTTTGACCCAGCAAACAAACGTCAATGCATTGTCATCCTATGGCATTATTTACCTTTTGTGGGTTTACTTTATCTCTGATGTTAGCACAACCAGTTCTCATATGCTCGCAGTTTGCTGAACACTCTTGGCAAAGAACGTGTTTCAGCACCCACAGTTTTAAACAATATCCTGTTTGCTCATTAGATTTTTAATTTCCTGTCTCTTTATTTTTCCCTTGAAGCCATCGTAACTACTAATGATCCTAAGACGCTTCTTGATTTATGCATCTTTTGCAGAACGTTGTACGTGCAACTATGTTACTTTAAATGTTATTCTGTGTTGTTTGCATGTGTACTAAGAAGAAAGACGCTGTGTATGTGATTGTATGTATCACAGACCATTTAGGCTTTTTTCTTACAATGTTTTCTTAATGTGTAGGTTTTGATCAACATGCAACTAATGTCTGGAGACCCATGCTTTAAAACGTAAGTTTATAAAAATATCTATGTGAGAGAGTGTCCTGGTCATACATTCCATGTTCAGAATTACACTTCTAATTTGTATTTATACACCTCTCCAGTCTGCCAACAACATAAAAATATATTAAAAAAAAATAAGGCACACATAAATGGGATGCTAGCTGAATAAAGGCTAACGTGGTAAAAATGCCAGTAGAAGTACCAGTTCATCTTGCTGTTAAACGTTTAGTATATTTTCAAGCAAAGAATACTAGCCTGTACATCTGTAATTAAAAAAAAAAAAATCAAAAAATCAAAGGAACACTTAAGGGAAACTGTTCCTGCATCAAGCTTATATAAATATACTTGGTGTGGGGTGATCTGGCTAATACCTGTGTTTAGAAGATGTGCTGTTATGCCTTTTATTCACAAGTCTCAGGTGATTTAAAAAGATTTATTTTCAAAAAAGAATGAAAGTGCAATATGACTTAGTACCAGAGAAAGCACTTAGAGCTCTTTAGTTAGCATAGACGTTATGCAACTTAATAAAAGATGCAAGAGTGGAGAGGTAGCTAGAAAAGTACATTGCTATATATTCAGGATCCTTTGGCCCCATTGTCCTTGTAATTAAGTAAATGTACTAGTTTTGCTGGAGTACGTTAGCTTCCATAGCCAACGGCAGAACAGAAAAATCGTGCATGCTAGGGAAGAACCTAAGCACGAGTAAGATGAAATTGCCGCCTTCTTTTTAGACTAATAAGCCGTTTTGTTACGAGGCACCCAAGCTTAGTGGATAATGAAACTGAAATAGTGCAACTGGCAGCTTCCTATTTCCAGAAAACACTATCCTCTTGTTAGCCGTGACTTAAATATCATGATCAGTAGGAGGTGAAGAACTCTCGCATGTCATTTGTATTATAAGAGATAAGTTTTAATAACCTGAAAGCATTTTAAGGATAATGTATAAGAATCTGCTTCCATGAATGTGGCGTGGAAGATTCTTTGATACTTGCCAAGATTCTTAATGCCACTCCTTTTCTGTAATTCAGAATGTTGGTAGAGCGGGTTGTTCAAAGTGTATGTGCTTTTCGGCTTAATGTCAGTCATTTCTAATGCTACATGACAGTGGATGGCAATTTTGTCTAATCAGGTTTAAACCAACCTATTTGTATTTTACTTGTCACAAGACGTTTAGGGGAGGCGTTGATGAAATAATTCCTTCAAAATAAATCTGATCCCTTCAGTTCTACTTTAACTCTTTATTTTTCTTCTGTTCACTTTATTGACCATGTTGTTATCCTGAAACTAGTAGGAGATGGAAACAAAATGAGAGGATGTATTTTCTTCCCAGAACATGTGATTAAGCTGTGGGACTCCTTGCTGCCATATGTTGTGAATACTAAAAGCTCAGGAAAGAATTAAGACAAATTCCTGGATGAAAAATTGTTGAGGACTGTTGAATATAAAACATTATGCACTGTTATCAAGAGGTACCTAATTTACAGATGAGGACATGCTAGAAGAATCTTCAGGAGATAGATTACTATGTGTGTGGTGTTCTCTCAGCATCTGTTGTTCACTGCCGACAGAAACTGGATGCAAGGCTAGACAGACCTTTGGTCTGAGACAACATGCTTATTCTCATGTTAGCCCTTCTGAAAACAATCCAAGGCAGAGTTCCAAGTATTACGTATAACTTGAAAAGAAAAAATGAGCATAAGGAAAACAATCGGGGCAAAAATTCCTAGCTTCACACTCCTTACGTCAGTCTCAACTTTTTGCGTAGGGTCTCGACTTTAATTTATACTTTTGGACCTTATGCCGGATCAAAGATGACTTCCATTGTGAAGACACAGGGCTTGCTTACAAACTGCTCCACTAAAACGCTTCTACTTAAGTATGGATTAGGATTTGTATTCCAAATACTTTCATAAACCAAATTTGAACTCATCTTTTATGAGATTAATGTAGGCAATCAGTGTCCCTCTGAATAATCCAGTGAAGAGGGATAATAATCTCATACAGGCTTCATCTGTAGCAGTAAACATATACTGAAGTCTTCCTTAAGTGATAAAGATTGTGTTTAAAGTGAAATGAGGGCGCAGCTCCAAGAGAAGCAGCACTGAGCTCCTAACTCAGTCTGGGGTACAAGTATAAAGTAACTCATGATTTGTAAGTTTTAGCTGCTTCGAGGTAGGTTGTGGTGTAATCAGGGCAATCGAGAACTATTTTCTGTAGCAACTGGAGACTTGTGCGTTACTGCTGTGGCTGGATCCTTACCATTGTTTCTGAGAAGACCTGAGAATGCTCTTCGCCCCAGTCTAGCTCAGATGTTCCATGACAGGAACTCTTCAATGTCCCTTTGCACTGATGAAGGCCGTTTCTTCTTTCTCTTTCCAACCTTCAAAAAGAATAACAGAACCATATAAAATCTCATCTTGCATTTACTGAATAAATAGTAAGAGGGTATTACCTGAATTTGTTTGATTAGGCTAAGCTTTTCTGTATCTCTAGTCATTTAGGACTTGTTGATTTACTGTTGAGTCAAACCTGTCAAGAAGTAAATCACTGGTACTGACAAACATTTTCTCAAAGGCAACTAACCATTCATCTTCTATACTATTAAAACCATGTATTTCTGTTCTCTGTTGGCTGGTACCAGTTGTTGAAATTAGTATCTGAATAGGTTTTTTTGGCTTCCTAGGAAAAAATCTCTAACTGAAATTTTTCAGACTTGGAATCTTCTTCCAAACTGATGATACAACCATTTCCTGGAATGTACACTTTGAACACAAACAGAACAAAAAGATTATCTAATCCAGATGTCCTTCACAGAAGGAAAAATAGACCTTAAAACAACTTCACAGTCTGGTATCAGCTACATATTTTAAGAAGTAGCCTAGAAGGCTTGATGTTTGGTCTGGGGTGACATCCCTGAAAGCACTGAGCTCTTGCTTTCAGAAGCGTGTTAGGCAGTTAAGTCACACAAGCATTGTATTTCTCGAAGTGCTTTTTCTCTTTCTTTCTTTACTTTGAAACGTAAGAGGGGATACATTACTGTATATAAAACCAGTGACTAATTTACTGAATATGTCAAACCTAAAAAAATGTCAACAACTCTCCATTCGTATGCAGACCAACAGTCTGTTCCCAAAATAACAAAGCATTAAAACAAGCTCTGGGTAACATCTTGAGATGTATTTTAGTTGTATTTGCTTGCAAGAGAAGATTACTTTCGTTGTGTCTTTTTCTTATTAGATTCTTTTGCCCCAGCAAAACACAAACTTAGAGGTTTGTTCATTTTAATAAAATAACCATTTGGGTCTTGGCATAATCTGAAGCAAGCATTTAAGCATTATTAAATACTTTTTTAATACTGAACCCGACATAAATTGTCGTACGTGATGCTTTTTCATTTTTGCAGAAAGTACAATTTAAAGGGAAATACATGCAGATGGTAACATCAGCCCCTTTTGAGAAAAAAAGTGTGAATTCTGCCAGGTGACTTGGAAAGGAAAATCTGTGCTGATCAATTTGAAGGGGTTACAGCAAAAGTACAGCAAATCTTAACCACCTTTCTCTTACAGGCCTCCTTCCACAGCAACATCTATAGCAATTGCTGGAGAATTGGAACCTTTGCATGAAGATAGGAAAGGTGGAGAAAACTTAAAAGTAGTGCATCTGGGCACAGCAGGTATAAAATAAAGCTCTTTATTTCTCCTTCTTTTCTAACTGGATTCATAGCTTAAAGGAGAGGTTCAGATCTTAAAAGGATGCTGGTAGCTGGCCCACAAAAGGGACCTTCTTGATTATTTGTTGAGACAAGCTCTCCTAGATAACATCAGGGGAATCTCTTTTTTTACTTTTCTAACAGTTTATTTAGTAGAAAAAAAGAACATAAATTGGACCGATAGCCTGCCTTCTTTTTAACTCTTAATATCTCTCTTTTTTGTGTGACACATTTTTTGATTTGCTTTGGATTTGTCTTTTGACTGAGCATTTAACATGGCCCTTGATTTTCAACTTATGAATCACAGGGATATGCATAACTGAGTAAATTTGGAGTGACGGAAGTTCTAAATATTGTTTAAAATTTAAGCAGTTACTCTGATATTTAGACTATTAGAAAAAAATACTATTAAAACACTTGGGGGCGGGTTGGTATGGCGGTTTTTTTGCTTGTTTTTTTTTAAAAGCTTCAGGCTCTTACATAGCTTATTAATTTCCACCCTAAACACAGCTTAAGTTGTCTTAACAATTACTTTTTCATCCAGAAAACATCTAACACACCATTCTGCTGTCATACTATGGAAAGCACAGCAATCTCCTTAATGCCAGCAGGGTAGACAAATCTAGAACTACATTGCATACAACTCTTCCTACTCTCTCTTTTACTCTGACAGAAATGTATAACGATTTTTTGTTTGTTTGTTAGGGAGCGCATATTTGTTAACATACATGGTATTTTTTCAGCACTTTAATCTTCAAAGGGTTTGTAGAAAACCAGCATCAAGTCCCTAATTCCTGTGGAAAATGTGACATTTCAGCCTAATCAAGATTACAGGCAAAGTACTAACAAAAGTGGCTTAAAACCAGCATCTGACTTGTACATGTTGCAGATGTCCCATCCAAGAGTGCCTCAGTCCCGGATGAACTTGGTGCATGTGGACATTCCCGAACATCAAGCTATGCAAGTCAGCAGTCAAAACTGTCAGGTAGCTGTTAACAATGTTGTTATGAATTGTCGGGGTTTATTTACTCCCATAGTTTTAGGCTGTAGAAAATTAGTATACTTCATATGTTTAAAAAACGTTGAAAGCTTTTTTCCTGGGAGTTTCAGACGTGGGGAGGGTAAATTTTTTGGGGTCTTAAAAGTACAGTGAATTAGCTGTTTAGATGTGAGACAGCTTTTTCCCTTATCTCCCTCTAATTAACATAACTGAATGAGTTTTCTACCTCTCCCTTGTGTAAAAACTAGTAACTTACAAATGGAGACTTAGCTCTAAGAGCTGAAGGGTAGGTAAGGACACCAAGTCGTTATATTTGATAGGAAGCAAGAGTTACTTAGAACAAAAAGAAAACAGCATGTGCTAGAATATAAAACCTGAAGTTAGTTGCTTGGTTGGCGTATGCACATACATACATTCATAAAGCTTCTGAAGTCTCTTTATAAGAAGACTAAAACACAAATTCAGCTTTCAGGATGGTAAAATGTAAGTAATGGCCTTGGCTGTCAAGAGCATACCTAACGTAGCTCTGCTGTGCTTTCCCAACAGGATACAGCACATGTCACTCTAGGTCATCTAGTCTGTCTGACCTCTGCCACAGGAGAAACACCTCGGTGGGCAGTACCTCAACAGGAATTGGGAGTATTCTAGAGCCATGTGAAGAGACTGAGCCAAAAGGAACTGAAGCTAAGAGTGATACATCTGTTAAAGATGCACCATCAGAAAAACTCTGCAGGTACGCTCAACCTGAAAGCCTTACCTAGAAATAAAACATCATTTCCTGTATCACTTCTAAGAGCTCTAAATATTTTTGCAGGCATCCCGTAAAGCAAGACTCTGTGGAGTCACAGCTGAAGAGGGTCGATGCTACCAGAGTTGATGCTGATGATATAGTTGAAAAAATACTCCAGAGTCAAGACTTCAGTTTAGACTCAAGTGCAGAAGGTATGGACATAAATGAGAGCCTTAGGAAAATCCCCTCTCTTCATTGTCCTTTTTGCTTGTAATCGTAAGGACTATGCACAGGGATCACTACATTTTCTGTTTCATCCTGTCTCCCAAGAGTTGAAGCTGAGTCCCTGCATGACTTGGGTAACTTTCCCAGAGCATTACTTTAAGCCTGAAAAGAGCAGAGGCAAATCTATGACAAAGGTAGTTTCTCCAAACTATACCATGTGAAGTTTGATTCTTCATTGCTTAAAACATTTGCATCTAAATGTATCAGTTACAAAACTGGTAAATATAAAATCACTTAGTTTTAGCTAGGGCAACATTAAAGCAAGCTAATATATGTTCATTTCCTTGCTTTTTAGAAGAAGGTTTAAGATTATTTGTGGGCCCTGGTGGAAGCACTTCTTTTGGAAGCCACCACTTACCGAACAGGTATGTAGCCTGAACAACTAATCCATAATACTGATCAAAACTGAACCTTACACAGCAATTATTCTGTATATACATTCATGATCTTTGTATCTTTTTATTCTGTATCATTTAAAAGCTCCAGAAAAAAACTAGATTATCGAGTATTGTAACAAACTGTAGATTAGTTCCAAAGCAGAACTGATGCATCAGCCCCAAGAGTTAAAACTCTCAGAGGTTCTGAAGAGTCTCAGTTCCAAAGTTTTCAGATATGAGCAATATTTCAGGAAGGACGCACGACCCAAGCACCAGTTGGCAATCTTAGCTCTATAAACTTGCTGTGTTACTCTCTGGAGCTCGAAGAAGGTCTGAAGTGTTTTATGCATCTACCTATACAGTAACAAACTTCTATGTCCTCCTGGTAACAAGACTAATTTTCTTCACTCTACTTTGCTCATAACTCCTTCTGTTTCCATGGCTTCCATGTTTCCCACTGTACCCCTGTTTCAATGGCTTGTTCATATTTCAATTATTTGTAGTCCTAAATTCCCCGTGATAATCTGCTTCAGATTATCTCCTTGTAGTTCTTTTTGAATGAGGGTTTTTTTCCTTCTCGAAACCCTCTTCAAATACTCTGCTGTATGACTTGACCTGAACACGTTAATCTTCCCAGATGAGAACAAAGGTAAGAATACACTCTAGCACCATGATTCTGCAGTCCAGTGTAATTCTTACGATTTTTCTTTATCTCAAGAAATTAGCATAACAACAGTGCTTCTGGAATTAGGTATAAAGGCCTCTGATAATGTGTTGAAAGTTATAAAATAAATGCATTTTACACAAGCAAGCAATACTGATGGCTAAAAGGTAATTTGTGAGTTTATTTGCAAACCAGGCACACTAGTTTCTATCTAGGATAACAGGCGTGGTTCCTGAGCCTACTGCAACAGGACCTAGAGAGCTGTTCTAATTCAGACGAGTTGCCAGAACAGCCCAGGTAGAACATGATAGGAAGGCAAAGCTTGCCTTCTTAATTTTTCACGCTGCAATTTGCCATGTGAAACAGCCCACTATTATGGTCTGTCATGTGGACGGTGAGACGGTTTCATTTAGAATTCAGCATGAACAAAAGACTGGAAGACATTGATCTTGTACCTTAAGCCTATCACTTACTGGTTTTTAGATACACTTATCTGTTTATGGATAAATGTATATAAATTATATTAGCATATGATATAGTTGGGGTGGGAAGGGGACCCAAAAGGTAATGTTTAAGGAAACTTAAGAGACAAGTAACTTTTTTCAGTAATATTATTTATCATTCTTCATTTTGACTGTAGTACAACAGAAAATGCTTTAATGCATTAAACTGTAGGTTACTCAGTAGCACAGATATTTTACTATCCTTCACATTTAGCTGTTCTGGTACTAACTGGTTGGTTGGGGGTTTTATTGCTTTTGGGGATTTTCTTTGTTGGGTGGGTGAGGTTGGTTGGGTTTTTTTCAGCGGTAAACTTGGTGATCCTTGTTTAGCTTGATGATACTTGTTTAGCTTCCATGTAAATAGGAATTTCACTAACTTCTGTCAAACCTTCTTTCAGAGGAGGATCTGGAGCATATGAGCAGGTGGTGATAAAACGCTAGACTGGAGCAACAAACAAGGAAAAGTTGGAGCTCTGGGACTGCTACTTCTGGTTTTCTTTGCTCTGTGGCAAAAGTTGTGAAAGCCAAAATAAACTCGGTGCAATCTTTTTTTGAAAAGTAAAGGAATGCCTCTTGGTCATAGAGCTTCATCTTCTGTGGTATGAGGGCAGTGTTTAGCTACGTATACCTTCTGCAGGCCCTTGGACTGGTTTTGTAAGCTCTACCTGATGGTAGTGGAATTACTTTTTAAGTTGTGTGAAACATTTTTGGAAGCATGATGAAGTGAGTCCCATTTCAGTGTTTTATACAGGATGTCACTTGTGATGTACTTTGTAACTTATTTTCTGAAAAAGCTTCTGAAAGCTGATCTTAAATGAACCTGAAGAAATTAATTACTTGATCTGATCCTATCTGCCATTTTAGTCTAACAGAGCTAATTACTTCTACCAAGTCAAAATTATTATCAAGTCAAAAATAAGGCCTCCACAAAATAGCTCAGCTGTTCTAACAAATCCAAAACCTTCTCTTAAGAGTACTGAGCATCACTTCATTGTAAGGTTGAACAGAAGAGTTGAACTTCTCATGCATTTAAAAAAACCCCAAACTAAAAAGATCTAAACCAGCCAGTAATCGTATTAACTGTAGATCAGTTAAGAGATGCCTAAATGCATCAAATGTGACAGATTTTTGTGCAAGTGACAAAACAAGTGAGATTTCCACATCGAAATACTAAGATGCAGTGGTCTGTTATCAAGAAACCTGGCTTAAATATATAACAATGCACGAACCTTGAGATTTAATGGGATGGTACTTGTTTACAAACCTTGACAGTAGTTTACTGCCACTTAGAACTTTTTATTGTAGCTTAATCCTTCACAGGTAGTGCTGTGCTTGTGTTTTGCATGTGCCTTGTGGGATCAGGGAGGTACAGGGAGACTAAGCTATTGACTGAGCAACTTAAGATTTAAAACTAGATAAAAATCTATACAATTATCAATATAACTTATTAAGAGAAGCACTTTATTGTAGATGTACCCTGCACTCTGGAAAAGTCCTACCGTGCAACGGATTTGTTGAACACTTCTTCCTTCACTATCTGTCCACTGGTACATTAAGGTCAATGTACTGTATATAAATTTGCACAAATAGTGATTTGCCGGTCAGGCAAGAAAGATGAAAGATAGCTCAAAGTTTTCACTGAGATTTATTAAAGAATCCATTTTTCAAGGGATGTGTTAGGTGACACAGTTCTAATCCAGCCTTGGCTCTGCTGTATTTAATCATAAACTGCAACTAATCTTCATTTTGTTATGATTAGTTGCATTATCACTAAGGCTTGGATTAAATCAAAGTACTAATAGTGTGGCCATTTTTGAAAGCTCTGAATGCTTTGAATTCTGCTCAGACTTACACCTGACATCCTTTTATTGAATTATAAGTAGGCCGTAATTAATAGTTAAATTAGGAAAAGCAGGTTTTGCTTTCCATAAATCCATTGTAGAATTATTAAACTCATTTTTCTTGGTTTTAAGGAAATTCCTGAATTTAAAGCTTTAGTACTGTTATTGAATATGATGAATATGAGCTGTTTCTCAGTTATAGTACTTAAATACTTTTATTTCATACTGTTAATTATAATCTCTTTAAAGTGTTTTAATGGGTGAAAGAATTAATACAAAGAATATATTTTAGCTGCTCTTAATACAAGTGTGGTATTATCCATTTCTGTCCTCCATGGGAATTTTAAACAGAAACAACATAACTGCTCGTATACAACTGTCTCTCAGAACATGATAGTTTCCTTTCCTGTTATATAACTAATTTGTACCAAAAAGAATCCTACTGTAAGCCAAAAGATGCATGAAATTTGAATACATTAGTTGCTTTCAGTATTCTTTAACACTACTATACTTGTTGACGAATCTATTAAAGCCGGTAGTAATTAGATGGTAGCTTCTTTAAGTTTCCTAGGAAAAATAGGCATAGTTTGAGGAAAACAGACTTTTAAAAAACATTGTGCAGCTACTTATGTAATTCTTAAGGGAATTGCCATAGCCCGGATTTGTATTCTATGTTAAAAGACAGAGCTAACTGCCATAGGCTAGATATTTTGTTTACTAGAAATCAATTATTTTCTTGCCTGAGCAGACCTTTTAAATAGAAGTTTATATGAAAATCGAGCTTTTAATAAAACTGTATCCTAGTAAATTATTATTCTGACTTTGAGTTACAGCTCTTTATGAAGTGATTCTCTAATTGTGTGTAGTTTAAGCAGAACATAACCTTTATATTTAGATATAGTATTTTCTTTTTTGTAAACTGTGTTACAAGAATACTGAAGACTAATACAGTAAACTGTTTGGGATGTGTTGGTGGTTTGCTGTTTTTTTATTTTTACCATGTTTAAAGGCAAATCTCTCAGGCATTCAATAAACTCATGTCTTCAGCTTGGAATCGGTTTCTAAATGCAAAAATTACAAACTTAACTAGAAGTTTGTGTCCATTTCAGTTTCTCTACTGCTTTTCAAACTTGGCCCCTGCAGCTTATTAAACTTCATCTCTAGTCCACACAGTATTTAATGGCACTGTTACTGGCACATAATTAGTTATCTGTATCCGGGAGAGGAAAAGTAGTATGTCAGTCTTACAGAAATGAAAAATCAGTTTTAAAGGGTGAGGCATATTGGTAGCTTAATTATTAAGCAGGATTTGGAGAGAGTGAGAGCACTGTGTATAGTCCCTTCTCACAAATGACAAAATTAATCCTCCTCAGTTGAGCATAAAGCCATACTACTAAAATTTTTCATGCAGTTTGCTTAGCTTTGTAAACTACCTTCTTATTTTTACTAACAAAACTACTTGTGGTACACATTTCTTTTCTCATCAGTGCATTCAAAATAACCAAGCTTTTTGGTGCTGCAGTAAGCACCTGTTCTTGCATTAAAAAAAAAAAAAGTAGACTGGTGAAAATTGCAGCTAGTTATAGTGCAAACTATTTGTCACTCAGATCAGTTCAGTAATCATTCAGTGCATGATAAGGATTAGGAGAAGTAAACTCTTCCATTTATAACCACCCCTCCAGTCTCAGCTGTCTTTCAATTTGAAAAGGAAGACAATTTTTACAAAATTTCAGCAGAAGATCCTAGAATTTCTTTTGTGGGTTGTTGTTTCTCTTCTGGTTTCATGGATCAACAGTTTGCTCATAGAATAAAAGCCTTGGCTCACCAGCAAACAAATCCTCCAGTTAAGGACCTCACAGTGGAGGGTTCTCTCTGAAACATGAAGTAAAACATGCCCAGATGCTCGTCACCTTACTAAACACCAGCAGCTGCAAATATAATCACTACAGTTTGGGGTTTTTTAATGCTTTGTTTTCTGTGTCCTGCAGTTTCACTCTGCTTTAGTGATATGTAAAGGGTAAAGAAAACATGTTATTTAGACACAGTTCTTTTTTAATTCAGAAGGAAAACACCTCATGAATAAAAACAAGGCTATGCACCACTGTTGCATACACATATGCGGTGTACCAAGGCAAAACCATTATTGTGGTATGGGAAAATATTTCCCTTTACTATTGCAGGAAAAAGCCAACACAGAGATACAAAGTACAACTGTGAATGCTGTCACTGAACACTTAGGAGCATTCCT